CTCAAGAGTCTCGGCCTGGACGTGAAAAAAAGTGGAAAAAACGTTTTTGTTAGATAAAAATTTTATTCACTTGTGGGATACCATGGAAGAAAGCCTGAATATCAGAACCCCGCCGGCGTTTGAAGAATCCATCGCTCACTATGAGATTCATGCGCATCAGCCATATGCCTCCACAGGGCTTGATAATAGCGACGAAATTCGCATCACTGTGCAAAATCAGGATCTCTGTATTTTACCGAGCAAAAGTCATTTGCACATTACTGGTAAACTGCTAAAATCTGATAACACAAGGGTGACACTTACGAAATTTGTGAATAATGCCATCTGTCATCTATTTCAAGAGATTCGCTATGANTCCGGTTCAGTATTGAAATAATTGGCTGCTCTTTTCGTCGCGAAGACTGCATGCTCCCCATCTAAATGGAATATCACACTTTCTCCGAATTTCGTTTTTGCCTTCTGAACGGCGGTGATGGCGTAGATTTTTTCTGGCTCCAACTCTGCCATTTTCTTCAGAGGAAGATTCTCCCTCTTCGAGACACTGTTGAATTTTTCAAAGTGCATGCTGCTGGTGTTGCGATGTTCGTCTTCTGGAGATCTGAGCACAACACTTCAATGTCACTTTTCAACTGAATGATTCTCTTCAATTGGTCGATATCTTTCAGCAGACGCTCAAGTCTATGTTTCAACTCACGAGTTTTGTTCAAAGCTTGTTGTCGTCGGATGAAGTACTTCTTCATGAGGAGGGTGAAAAATACTGATGCTGTGCCCTTGAACTTGGTGTGTTATATAATTCTTCCCCCCCCCCCACTTCTTCACNCTCTTTTCCAGGTATAAAAAAATGATTTATGACCTTTTGGACTTAACCCTTGCGATGATGACTCATTCTTATCTCAGGAATGTCACACTTTCTCTTTTCCAGGAATTGTACAAAAAAATAATTTATGACCTTTTGCACTTAACCCTTGCTGTGATGACTCATTCTTCTTATCTCAGGATTGTCACACTTTCTCTTTTCCAGGTATAAGAAAAATGATTTATGACCTTCTGCACTTAACCCTTGTGATGATGACTCATCCTTCTTATCTCAGGTACAATCTCAAAAATGTTAAAAGCCATTTTGCCCCCCCCTCCTCTTCCAATATTCAGGTTTAGGAGTCGCGAATTAAACCACGAATTAAAACAGCGAATTAAAACCGCGAATTCTAACCGCGAATTAAAACCGCGACATGATTTATCCCACCCCACCACCCTCTCGCGGGGGCCTCTTCCATAGCTCTTGCCCCCCCAGGATAGACGAAACGTCGAATCCGCGGATTAAAACGCGAATTAAAACCACGAATTAATTAATCGCATCCCACCAACCGCTCGCGGGACCCTCCAGTCCCTAGAATCGATGAAATGTAACATCCGCGAATTAAACCGTGAATTAAAATCTCGAAAATTGAAAATCTCGAATTCGAATCAAAACTGTGAATCAAAACCGCGAATTAAAACCGCGAATTCTAACCGCGAATTAAAACCGCGACATGATTTATCCCACCCCACCACCCTCTCGCGGGGGCCTCTTCCATAGCTCTTGCCCCCCCAGGATAGACGAAACGTCGAATCCGCGGATTAAAACGCGAATTAAAACCACGAATTAATTAATCGCATCCCACCAACCGCTCGCGGGACCCTCCAGTCCCTAGAATCGATGAAATGTAACATCCGCGAATTAAACCGTGAATTAAAATCTCGAAAATTGAAAATCTCGAATTCGAATCAAAACTGTGAATCAAAACCGCGAATTAAAACCGCGAATTAAACCCGCGAATTAAAACCGCGAATTAAACCCGCGAATTAAAACCGCGAATTAAACCCGCGAATTAAAACCGCGAATTAAACCCGCGAATTAAAACCGCGATTTGATTAATCCCACCCCACCACCCACTCGCGGGGGCCTCTTCGACAAGTCTCCAGCGCTCGCCCCAGAAACGTTGCCCCAGAATCCGTCTGATACATCTACTACTGCGCCGAGAAACCATTAGGTTTTTCATAGCGCCGCGACTTTCGTCGCAGTTTTTATTTTTTCATTACAGAGATTAAGGAATGAAACGGTAATGTTGTTCGATGGAGAATTAAATTCCCCATCCTCAACAACCCCCGTTTCATTCTCTTAATCGCTCTAATGAAAAAATTATAACTGCGACGAAAGTCGCGGCGCTATGAAAAACCTAATGGTTTCTCGGCGCAGTAGTAGATGTATCAGACGGATTCTGGGGCAACGTTTCTGGGGCGAGCGCTGGAGACTTGTCGAAGAGGCCCCCGCGAGTGGGTGGTGGGGTGGGATTAATCAAATCGCGGTTTTAATTCGCAGTTTTGATTCGCGGTTTTAATTCGCGGGTTTAATTCGCGGTTTTAATTCGCGGTTTTGATTCACAGTTTTGATTCGAATTCGAGATTTTCAATTTTCGAGATTTTAATTCACGGTTTAATTCGCGGATGTTACATTTCATCGATTCTAGGGACTGGAGGGTCCCGCGAGCGGTTGGTGGGATGCGATTAATTAATTCGTGGTTTTAATTCGCGTTTTAATCCGCGGATTCGACGTTTCGTCTATCCTGGGGGGGCAAGAGCTATGGAAGAGGCCCCCGCGAGAGGGTGGTGGGGTGGGATAAATCATGTCGCGGTTTTAATTCGCGGTTAGAATTCGCGGTTTTAATTCGCTGTTTTAATTCGTGGTTTAATTCGCGACTCCTAAACCTGAATATTGGAAGAGGAGGGGGGGGCAAAATGGCTTTTAACATTTTTGAGATTGTACCTGAGATAAGAAGGATGAGTCATCATCACAAGGGTTAAGTGCAGAAGGTCATAAATCATTTTTCTTATACCTGGAAAAGAGAAAGTGTGACAATCCTGAGATAAGAAGAATGAGTCATCACAGCAAGGGTTAAGTGCAAAAGGTCATAA